TCTTGAAATGAAGGAGAAGAGGGTTGGTTATTTTAAATTTCGACTGACAACGAGGATATCTTTTATCGTGATCGTCCCACCAACTAAATTGGCTAACTAAGAAATTACATCTTCAACATTTTCTTCTTAAAACATTAATGTTATATCGTTTATATACTGTAAAGTATGTTGTAATAGTAATAGTATCAACAGATTCAACCCTCTTCAACAAGTTAGCAAGTGAAAATCGTTCTATCTGTAATAAAAAGTAAAAAAAAGAAAATGATTATCTCGAAAAAAAAAAATGATACCTCAGGCGAATCATCATCGAACAAGCGGCTTCCTCAAAGAAGGTAAAGAAAGAAATGAAGAAAGAAAGAAAGAACCGTGAACGCTGATGAAACGGGAAATGATGTTAAGGGCGGAAAAGGAACTATCTTGCTTGAGAATAATGCCGAAGAACTAAACTAAAGATGAGAAAAATGCAGGAGGAATCAAATTGTCTTTCAGTTAGTTGGAAACTGTCATTTTCTTTTCTTTTCTTTTCTCTTTCTTATTCTTTAGTCGATAAGAAGATAGGTTTCGTTATTTGAAAATCGATTATATATCTCTATTAGTAGAATTATATTAAACGAATTAATGCAAAATACTTTAACGATAGAAAATATTTGTTTATCTGAAACGAGACACCTTGATAAAAATCTCATATATATATATATGTATACTAGGAATGTGTAAGAAAAATAACGATGAAGATAATTTAAATGAATAAGACGAAAAGAAAACACACATAAAAAAAAGGTACTTCTTTATCATTCCTTCGTTCATTTGATCGTATACTCATAGACGAAGATTTGATCTTGTGAACAGAAAAAAATATTCAGACGACGTTGTAAAATTGCATCGTTGAGTAAAGAATTATTTATCGAATGGGGGAAAAGGGGTTAGGGGGTAGGGGAAGGTGGTAAAGATCAAGCAATCGTAAAAGTCCGATCGAGTTAGGCACGTTTTTCATTTACTTTTCCCGTTCGGCATTTATCTTTGGCCACCTGCCGTGCCTAAATCCCTATTACATCCCTTTTAGCATCCCTTTTAGCATCCCCAGTGTCAGCGTGATCCCCCGTAGCTCTTTAAACTGAATCTTAAGCTCCATTTTCTATGAACACAGATAGATTGGAGTTTTAAGGTACAAGTTTCGCTGACGTATCGATCCGAATACCGAATTGAAAGTGAACGACTAACTTACATATATATATATTGATTCAACTTTATGTCCTAGTTTCGTTAAATCAACCAATAAAGGATCTCACACTTTTTAACTTGTTCTGATCTCTTCCCTTTTATTTTCTTTCCTTTTTTCTTCTTTTTCCTTACGCGTAAATAGGCTCTCTTCTTTCTAAAAAAACGAATAAGGAAGAAAACAAAAGAATGGGTAAGGTTTTCCCTTACTCACATACACACACACACACACATTATGAGAGTATTTTACTATATAGGCTTTAAGGATAGAGTTTGTCGAGTAAAAAAGTTTATTCTGTAGCTTGTTCTCTTCGTTAGAGTTTCCTACAAGGTTATTGGCGGCAAAACGAACCCCCCAACCCTATACTACTACCCCCTTCCCAATCATTCTCGGTAGTTGGTTACGGTAATTCGTTCACCAATGCACCAATCACTTCGTCAAAGTTTGTCCTATAAATCGTACGAGATAGGGACACTACTCGTTGAATTTAATTGAATATAAGCTAACTTTATTCTAGTTACGAATTATACCCTCGAAACGCCTACGTTTTCCTCTGTCAGAAAATTTCTCTCTCTTTCTCTCTCTCTCTCTCTCTCTCTGTTTTTATCTTTTTCTTTCATAGATTACTTTCTTTTATTTTAGTTAAGTTTAGTTTTGCGCGTTTAATTTTGTAAATAGTATTAGAACGACTTACGTAGAAATATATTGATCATTTTTATTGGGTTAATCTTTATTCGAAATTTTGACCCTCCCCCCTCCCTCCCCCGTTAGAAAGATTTCTCGAAAGAATCTCAATTCTTCTTCCGGTCGATCGAACTATAGAAATGTTATTTTACTTTTTCTATATATGTATGTATGTATGTATGTATAGAAAAGTTTCTTAAGAACGTTTAACTAACATATATCGCGATAAAATATTTTCTAACTGAATTCTGAATGAACAAAAAAAAACTAAAACGTTGACGTTGACGTTGACGCAATTTTTTTTTTCTTTTTTTTTTTATTGCTTTTAGATACGAAGATTGATGAAATTTTTTCTACTACATTTTCCAACTAAAATCAATTTTCTCACATTTTTACATAAGTCTAGAGATATTCAATGAAAAAAAAAAAAAAAAAAAAAAAAAAGAAAAACAGATTTCAAGAGTATGTACCGTGAAATACAAAAACTTTAACAACTTTTATTCTCCCCAACTATTATAAAGAAAAGTTACTTTTTTTCTACTTATATTGCTGGTAATAACTTTTCTTTCTGTCTCTTTCTCTCCCGTAGAAGAATATTTTTTCATTTTTTTTCTGCAAATTGTACTAATTCTCTTAAAGTATCGTTTACTGGGTCGAACGTTTTAAAAGGATATTGTATGTGTGTACATATAAAACGATATATTTTTCAATTGTGAAGTAATATTCTAGTTTCTTTTTTTATTTCTGATCAAATAATTGATTTTTTTTTTTGTATAGTTCGAAATCTCGAAAATGGGTTTGAAAAATTTCAAAGTGAACTTCGTTAAAATAATCTAAGATAGATAAGGGGTTCGTGCGTATACGATTCCATAGAAACTACAAACTGTACGAGAAACTTTAAACAACATTTTTCAAACCTGGCATGCATTTTTCACGGAGACTATTCGATAGATCGATTTGCAATTTTGCAAGACACGTGTAATACGTGCAAAGACTATCCTTGGAAAATTATTTCGCAATAATCGAAGTTCCCTATTTTTCAAGTTTCACCATTTATTGTCAATTTCTTACGTAACGAATGAAATATAAGATAAATACATTTGCTACGAATGAAAAATAAAAATATAATAAAATATTTATCGTTAAATAATCGGGAAAATATTCTATAACGTGTACAATTATTTGCAATAAAATCCATTGGACAAATTTGAAATGTTAATTAAAAACGCTTATGAATGTAACTGTAAAAAAAAAGAAAAAGTGAGATTGTAGATTGAAACATCTCTGTAAATTAATTTCCGAGTAATCATTACGAAAATTAATGTCCACGCTAGAATATTTCATTAACCTTTTGAAATATGAAATTTTACAAAATGAAAAGATCCGACGTTGCACAGAGAAATTTGTGATTTCTTTTTAAATCGTATAAAATATTACTTTTAAATTGTATCACCGGTGGAGTGTACACGCGACTTAAATGAAAAGCTTAATGCGTTTATTAATGCATAAAGTTAAACATATTTATTTAATGTCAATTACAAAATGACAAATGATTTGAATAACAAAAGTCGAGAAAAAACGATTAAGCAAATAACGTGTTAATAATAAAATATAAAAACATACATACAAAATGAAGTTTTGTCTTATAGAATTGCTACTCAAATATTCTTATAATGCACATTTACGTATCAAATTGCACAAAGTTAGTTTATTTTTTATTAAATAAACGAATAACCCATAATATAAAAACATACAAAAATTAAGTTATTTTGTTATAGGTTATTACACAATATTCGAATTCGGGAATTCCACCGTAAATATTATAATATTTACGGGTGAAAAAAAGTTGTGCACACGTTTGTCATGTATATCAAAGTGTTAAAGAACTGGAACGACTAGTTACGATTGAATTTTTCCAAATAAATAGGAAAGCTGTTCTTGCCAGGAAGAACATTTCTTGATCGTGATTCAGAAAACGGGTTGGATGGGCGACATGGGGTGCCACGATGTCTAGCCAAGTAGTTTATTCGTTATCTAAGCCAAGTCGGCTATCTTGCTTATGCACAACCTTTTCTCTTCTTCTTCATTTTTTTTTCCTCTTTATTTTCCCCTTTTTCCTTTCGTCATTTTGCATCGAAAAGTTTTCTCATTTGCATCCTACGCGAAAGATTCTTCTTACTTTCAAGTAACGTAACTTTGAACGAACGAAAGGGAAAATAAAAAGGTAAAGATGTTAAACACATCGTATAAAAATATATATATAAACAAGACATAATTAATAATATAATAATATCGTACAATTGCGTACAAACCGATTGATTATGTTAGTTTAAACAACAAAAAATAATATATATACAAAAGAGAAAAGATTTGTTTCGTTAAAATAATTCACGTTGGATACATCGATAATATTTGTAATATCGATAAACCATTATTATGGGGTATTTAATATCCTGACTTATGTTGGTAAGGACATCCTGCGACGACTAATGCACACCGGAAGTTCATATCCGTCAACTATGATTGTCTCGACGATCTTTACGGTTCCAAAAAAAAAAAAAAAAAGAAAAAAGAATATAATCAGAATTGGTTTGTTAAGAAACGAATGGGAACGCGAGAAGTTCGATTTATTACATTTAGAAAAAATAAAGAATTAAATAAATCTACTACTACTAGCAAAAGTTGCTACATATATATATGTATATTTAACTAGAAGCGTATATGTTTGTGCGTATATCTAGATTGCAAAGGTCGGTCCTATGGCACGGTTGCTTCTTCAAAGGTTGAAGACCTTTCCTCTTCATTATTAACGCGATGTACATCGATTTTGTCTGTCTACCTTCGTAAACTCGTTTCCATTTTATGAAAGTACGTAACCGCAAATCCATTTAAACTATTATTAAAGTATAACAAAAATCTCGTTCGTCCTTTTCCCCAAGTGAAAATCAAAATTATTGGATAAATTAACGTTAACGAATATCAGAGAGAATGAGAGAAATAAACACGAGTTATTCGAAAGGGATTGGCAAACAAAATAAGACGAGGAACACCTGTTGTTTACAAGAATTTACGGAAAAAAGAGATCGTACACACTTACCCTTTAAAGATAATGGTGGTATATAGGTACATCGATGTAAATCATGCGATAATTCAAAGTTGTTGTTGTTCGACTTTTATTAATCAACATCGTATCTCGTAACGTTGATTTTTGTTTCTTTCACTCGCGAAATCGAAAAATATTCTATCTTGTTTTTCTTCTTTCTTAAACCCCTCGCCCACCCCCCATCATCGTTGTTTAAAAACAACGAGACGAAATAAAAGTATATGTATAAGAGAAAAAGTATAAGGATGAGGATGAGGATAAGGATAAGGATAAGGATAATGATAAAAATAAAAAAATCGATCGATTGATCGATCGATCCGGTCGCCCGCGCGTTTCAGAAGCAACGACGAGGTGCGAGGGTCGTCGCCGTTTGCCTCGAAAGAACACTACCACCCCCTTTGATATCCTTCCCTTTGATGCCACGTGCTGATGCCGAGTAACGCGCACGTTCAAATGGGGAAACTTTTAACGCGCAAACTCCAAGTCTTTTTATTAATTATCATTAACAATTATTCATTTATTCGTTCTTATTCTATCCTAAATCATACTCATGAAAAATATCTTACTTATTCTTTTTTTTTCTAATTTGTATATTACAATTTGTAAAAAATATTCAATAATAATATTCAATATATATATTCAATATATATATTCAATATATATATTCAATAAATATATTTAAACGTTTCGAAATTGAATTTCTACGAACATTTCTTATGATTTCTTATTCGTTTTTTTTTTTTTTTTGTTTTCAGTATCTTGCGATCATTAAGGAAATTGCAATTTTCGTTAAGCAAACAGAAACAATGGAATCTCCGAAATTTCGTTATACTAAAGACAATGATCACCTGACTTTCAAGGAACGATTATTCTACGAGAAAAATGGATATTTATTAGTTCCCGATCTTATACCGCAATGTATAAGGGATAAATGTTTTAATAGGTAAAACCAATAGATCGATGATCTATTAAAGATAATTTGAAACGATATTATTCCATATTATTTTGTAGATACGAAGATATCATTACCGATAAAGTCAATCGAGGAATGATCACGATTATGCGAGATATTGTTAATAAGAAAATAGTCAATAAGATACAAGATCTTAATCATGACGACATTTTTCGAGAATATTTCGAACATAATAAATTGTTAAACATAATTGAGTGTTTCACAGGTCCTAATATAATGGGTGTGCATAGTATGTTAATAGCCAAACCACCGGATGCAGGACTCGGTTCCAGTGCGTAAGTAAACACAATTAGAAAAATATTATCTAAATAAATAGATTTTTTCTATATACGTTTTAATTGTCACGGTTGAAACTCTTAGACATCCACCCCATCAAGATCTTTATTATTTTCCATTCCGACCGGCCGACAAGATCGTAGCAGCATGGACCGCGATAGAACCCTGCGATCGTTTTAACGGTTGCCTTTACGTTTATCCTGGAACTCATGCACTCGACAAACTATATTCACACGATTATCCTCCTAATTCCAAATCAAATACGGTTAACAAGTTTTATCACGGTATTTTGGTATGTAATTAATTAATATTTTCTCTTATATTTTTGTTTGACTCGACAATATATTGAATTTGGGGATAATGTTTTTAAGGATTTTCAACCAATGCAAAAAATCTACGTACCAATGAAACCTGGCGATACCATTTTCTTCCATCCTTTGCTGATACACGGATCTGGAGTAAATCAATCGACGAGAACGAGAAAGGCCATTTCTTGTCACTACGCTAGCTCCGATTGTTATTACGTTAACGTATGTATATATATTTCTAGCTCTATGTTTCTTATTTTCACGTAAAAAGAAAATAATGTAAAAAAATATATATGTTTTGAACAGCCCGAAAATGAAGCGGAAAAACGGATTCAAGATGAGATCCTAAATCTTGTACGCAAACGATACCCTGGTTCAGATTTGTCATATGCAGATCTTTGGAGCTTAAAAGCCACGCTTGTGCGAGGTGTACGATCCACTTTGTAGATTTTCATTTATAAATAGCTAATATCTATTATAGTATTATTTAGCCTACACTAGATTGCATGCTATTAATTTGGTTTGGTTTCTACTAATTTTGTTCTTTTTTATATATATCTTTTCATTTTAAAGAATAATTTATCACTTAAAAGCTAACGATAGGAAAGGAAATTAAATCTTATCAGGGATAATTAATTGCACGACAGAAGAAGATGTAACGACAACGGCATCGTTGTCGCGATTATTATTCACTGATTTGATATCACGACGATGTCGTTGATAATTATATGGTGGTTGAACGGTATAACAATGTTTCGAATGAGGATCTTTATAGGTATTTTCGTGACGTACGCTAGCACTGGATGTACGACAAGCGGCAAGACAAATTTGAAATCGATCCATATTACGTAGAAGTAACTTTACCGTTTCTTCTTCCCTTATTTTAGGATTATTTTTACCACTTTCTATCGTACTCTTCTTTCCCTTTATCTGCTATTAAACATAATAACAATTACAATTTAAGCGTTTTACTAACCAAAGTTAATTTAATGATTAAATAAAAAAATAAGAAAATGTAAAAAAATAATATTAGAAATAAAAAAAAAGTACCTTGGAAGGATTCAAACAGCAAGAAACGCAATATTCATAAATAGCACAACATCCTTGAGCATTACACGTCTTACAACTGTATCTTTCTTTACGACTTGTAATCACACCACCTTCTTCCTTCTTAAATCCCTGCTTCTGTTCTGTGCTACAGCATCCATTAGGTAAAAGTTCATGCCTCGCGCATACCACCCCTTGCTCGTCTACTATCAATACTTTGCCCTATGCGAATAATTTTATATTTTATTATTAATGTTGCAATATACCTAACAAACATAAAACCTAATATTTTTATATATATATATATATATATACCTGTATAGAATTGCGGCAAGGTTCGTTCGACGAATCGCTATCGTTGAAATTAGCAAGTGAATCTATTCCTAGTGCATTTTCATGACCACCCTCATTTTGAATCTCGTTCTGACCCTCGTTCGGTGCTTCGTTCGGAACATCCATGTCCCAAGATTGGGGTTTACCAGATACTTTAACTCGTTGAAATGAAAGATCATCCTCAGAAATCATATCGTCGTTATTATCATTTATTATCATATCCTCGAGATCGCTATCCAATGCCATTGTTCTTCTCTTTAATAAATATAATTATTTTATTACTAAATATATATATATATATATATATATTTATATCGAGTAATTAAATATAAAGAAATATTAAAAAAGTATTACTTACTTCATTGCGGAATAAAGAAAAAGCACAATAAGTTAAGGACAATGTAAATATCAGTCCCAGAACTAAACGTCGGCGAATGATTCGAACTAATCCCGTGTATCCTGCCATGATTATAGATTTCCTAACTAAACACGAAATTCTAAATTTTGATACATTTTTATCGATTGGGTATACCACAACGATTTATTAAATTCATTGTATATCCAGATATTTTTCAAAAGGAGTTGTTCCAACATTTATTATTCCCATAGATTACATTCATGTATAATGAAAAATATCAATTTGCATCTTTCTCAAATTTCATCTAATTGCAAATTAAGGTTATATTCCCTTTGCACTTTTCTATATCACACCGATACATATATGCACTTAATAAAATTAGTTAAATATTTATTTTCAATCGTACACAATTACCGATAATATTTATTTTATCACCTTATCTAATATCAATTAAACAGATATGCAATTTATTAAAAGAACAATATTTAAGATCCTAAAACGTCGCTAAATGAATTTCTTAGTTTCCTTGTCCAACGTTAGATGACTCGTCCGTACTAGTGACATCTGTCATTCGTATTCGTAAATATTTGCAAATTATCGATAATATTGTTGATATCGCTTATCGATAAACAAATTTAATTACGTATGAATTTAATGTTTTTATAAATATACATGAGAAGACACTATTCTTGTTTAGTCATGTTTTATTTTTTGTATTGTTACATACGCAACTCATTTGTATGCCTTGTAAAATAAATATAAATTATTTAATACAAATAACACTAAACGTAATTCAAACGTTATTGTATCGATTAATCGAAAGTGAAATATATTTACACGTTAGATGTATAAATAATTGATTGAAAAACCGTGATATGACATTAAATAAAATACAATGGTTATTATCGTTTGCTATATTTACGATAATTTTCACCATTATTCTTTGGGCTTCGATAGATCTTGGTCGATATACCAGCTTAGATAAGTAAGTATGATAATACTTTGTATATATTTAAAAATATTAATATGTAATCACCAATCCTTGTATATAGGAAAGATGTCATCGAAATATTATGAATTTGTTGTTCTTAATGTTTTAAAATAAAAACAGGGACGAAAAGGAATCTGATCTCAAGAAACATTTAAATAGTACAATTATTCCATCGTTTTCCACATAATATGGCGGAAGCTCGATTTTAATCCACGATTCTAATGCATATAGTATTACAAGAAAGGATTCTGTTTACAGGACTTCCGTTAAAGAAGATCTCGTTCCCCAATTAAATTTGATCGGTTCCTCGGAAACGTAAGCAAAATTATGTTAATATTCGATGCTGTCATTGATCGAATAATTCGTTGATCTAATAAATTATTTCTTTACAGAACCATTCAAATCGAAGCCAAAAAAAATTTGTGGAAAAATTATGCGATTAGATCGTCCACACCTATCATATGTAAATCATCGAATCATTTTTAATGAACCATTAAGAATAATAGTAATATATAGATGTTACTTGTGAAAGACCGAAATTGGATAATGTCAAGATTTTACATGGTTTCATATATTTGGTTTATTTATATTATTAACAAATTATATTTGATTTATTCTAGTACATTAATATTTCGGACATATACCAAGCGACAATCTTGACATTCTCCAATTTCGATCTTTCATACAGTAACATAGATTTTACAATATTAAATTTCAATATTTTTAAGAAAAGGTTTCTTTTTACAGATATAATGTAAATAACGCACAGGAAAAGTAAATGGAAATAAGCATCTGATTTTCCTGCCGTCCATGGGACAGAACTCTTCGACTAATTTATGTGAGGAAATGCATATTGTTTTTTTTTTTTTTTCCATACACAAATTATCTTATTCTTTCTTTAATGATAAAAAAAAAGGGAAAAAAAGAGAGAACACTTTTCGAATGAACGAAAAAGGGTTCCACTTAATAGTCAAGTATTTATTTGACCGTTTGAGAAAGCGTCAAATGATTTACGAACGTATTATCATTGGTAGATTTCAAATTACACATAGATCGACGAAATAATACACCCCCTCGAGTTAAGATCAAGCAAGTATCAAAATACGAAGTAACGGAATACGAAACTTGATAAGCAAAATGCAAAACAAAGAAGAATTAGATAGTAGAAGAAGGATTATTATTTGATGAGTATAAATTAAACGCGAATAAGAGTTGCCTTTCATTTAGTTGAGATTCTATTTTGAAATTCGTTTCATCTTGTTCTTAAGGATAATTTGTTTTTTTTTTTCTTTTTTTTCTTCTTTTCCTTGGTCCTTTTTTTCTCTCCTGTTGTGAAGAGAAAGATAAGCAGTAAAACTCTTTGAAGAAAGATATAAAGAAAATCAACACAATGGACCGGTTATATGTTTGAGACTCTTTATTAGTTCCAACAAATTCTGTAAAAGCGCTTCACGCAGGAAACAGAAAATAAATGCATTTCAAAAAAAGTTTTAGTGAGTGTGTGAGCGGTGAATATCGTCCTGGTGCTACTATTATATGATAGATATTTCCTTTCTTCCTTCTTTTATTTGTCATTATTATTATTAGCAGTTTTTATTTCAAAAAAGTTACTGTTCTATAATATTCGTTTAAGTTATACAAATAAACGAACATTATTATTTATTATTATAATTATTATTCTTTACGTTTTTTTGTGAAAAATTAGTGTAGTTTATTATTGTTTTTATACTATTGGGGTTCCTTGACGATGCACAACGACCTTAAAATATTTCGATCGAATATAAACGTGTTTCTTATTTAGATTTAGATTCATAAAATATTGTATTCTTAAACGAATACGATGAATAGAGATAAATTTGGTAATTTCGAATTAAAATTGTGCCTTGTAAACGCCGGTCTTTGTCGACGAGAGTTTCTTCAAAAGGTGAGTCCTGTTTTTTTTGCCCTTGTCGTCCTTTAGCCCATTCTAACCTTTTTCTTAGTTTTTCATTTACCAAGCACAGAATAATATTAAATAATATTGAATTCAACCAAGGACTAAGTTCTTTTACGAAATAATAAATGTGTGTGATCGTGTTATGTCGTGTTGTGTCGTGTTGTGTTTTTCTTTTATTTCTTATCTTCGTGTTAAAATCATTGTTACAGTTTGTGTTTTTTTTTTATTTTTTTTTGAATAGTCATTTTTTTTTGTTTTACCGGAGAAGAAAGTTGTATTTCAGAAATTGCCCAACACGCAATAAGTATATTAATTTGAAGAAAAAGAAAGATTGAAAGGTGACTTCTACAATACTTATCGATGTTTATTAAAAGGAAATTAAAGGTATATAGATTATTATATATAAAGATTCAATTAGACTTACAATATATCATTTGCTTTATATCTTATATTTTTGATATTGGGATTATATTAATTATACATGATTAAAAATGTTTAATTTTTAATCATAGTTTATCTAGCCTAAATTGTAGCTAAACTAATCTTTATTATTGATACTTGCGATAACCCATATAAAGTTCGCATCTGATTACATCATATATATATGAGTAAGTTTAATAAATATTATGTTTAATCTGATATTAAAAAAAATATCAATAGATAAAAAAAAAAGCAAGTTCTTCCTTCTTTCCTAAGATTTGTAAACTTATCTCTTGTAATCTAATCCGCAAAAAAAAAAAAACAAAATTAAACAAAATCTGATCAAGATTATTTGGTAATATTTGTTGCAGTTGAAACGTGATTTGGAAAAATTGAATCTATCAAGAAGAAATGTACGGAAAGCTCTCTTGCAATTGATAAATCAGGCATACGTTGTTATTAATCCATTGTAAGTATCATATAATACACATATGTACATATACGTACGTATACATATATATATGTACATAATATATATTAGTATAAGACAACAGGGAAAAGATCCAGACTATATCTACAACTGATGAATTTATTATGAATATTATTTTTATATCATTTAATTGCCCATCACACATTCAATAAAATGAAATATGTAAGTACTATATAATACAAATATATATATTTATACACACACATAGTATATACTAATATAAGACAACAGCGAAAAGATTCAAACTATATTAAAAACTGATGAATTTATTATAAATTTTATTTTTTATATCATCATTTAATAGAATAATTTAATACGTGACTCGCGAAAAAGAATCTACTACGTGCTACGTAATTGAATATTATAAATTTATACAAAGGAAGTTTGATAAGAATTCGCTTACAATCTGCTTGATAACAAATGTCCCCTCTATGTTTAGATTCGTTTGTGAAGAAGAGGGTTAGCTAAGTTGTAAAAAGAAAACCTGATCCTAACCAAGTGTTGCATGTGTATGTGTGTGTATGTTTTCTTAGTCTCCTGTTTAAATATCAGGTTTCTTTTCTCCCGCTATCGCACATTTCTTTTTTATTTCATCTTTGAAATTATTTCCTTTAAGAATGATTTCTTTTTTTCAAAACTTAGAATATAATAGGTCGAAACAAATTTTCTACCTAAATCTATTTTATATTTTAACATTATACATAGATAAATTGTTATTTATAGATTTCGCGTAAATTTTTTCATCTTGTTTCTATATATATATATATATATATAGAAACAAGATGAAAAAATTTACGCGAAATCTATAAATAACAATTTATCTATGTATAATGTTAAAATATAAAATNTATATATATATATATATTATAGTATATATATATATATATATAGTATATATATAGGAATAAAGAAGAAAAGAATTTTTCTTAGAAACTTTCCATGTGTACCCATATCTTATACCCATATCTTATACCCTTGTGTATCCTTCTATTTTTATGGTAGGGTCGGAAGAATATTGAAGAAAGAGAAAATAAAAGTGAGACAACAACCTAGGTTTCAGGTTTCCTTTTAGGTTTTCCTTCCTAAACCCCAACATTTGGTTCAAAACTTTAGTTACCAACAAGAAAAATCGGTCAATGCTTAATCTGTGTTTTTCTCTTATATAACAGATATTACTTCCGCGTTATATTATTTCATTTTTCGTGTTACCTCTTTCATGAAAATCATTATTATTTTTTGAACGACTGAATATTGTTCGTATTTTTTTTAAATTTTTCTAAAGCATCGGTTAGATATAAATATTATTTGAATTCTATTTTCGAATAATACGAAAGGAAATACGAAGAAACGAATTTTCTTGGTAGTTGTGTTAATGCATAATCGAAAAATCTGATGATAGAATGGACGAGAAAAGATAAGTAAGAAAAATATGGGGTAAAATACGAAAGCAAATAAGGCATAATATTTTTTTAAATACATAAATATGTATACATGTATAATTGCGCGCGTACACGTGTGTGGTATGTGGTCTTTCCTCTGTTAATTTCAAGAATTGTTAATAATGTATAATTTATTTATCTAATTTTTATTTAAAATATCTATTTTATATTTTAGATCAAGGGAAATAATGCGCAATTTCAATACCGAAGATAACAAAGAAATTTTTGACGGTTACAACTATATGCTGTTGTTAGATGGTGATAAATCTAAGCAAAATGATGGTAAGAATAAAAAAGATTTCGATTATTCAGAAAATCAGGACAAATATTCTGACCTAAAAAAGAAAAATTTGGACATCGATAATAGTACATTAGAAATAGTATCGAAATCTCAACGTAACGTTAGCAATAATGCATCTAAATATGCTAGTAATGGGAGAAAAGAATCTTTAGGTAAATATAAAATGAAACGACATCATCTTAAATCTGATTATAAAAAATCGAATAATACATTGAGCAGTAAAAAAGTATCGAGGAAAATGAATTCAAACGACGAAATCTCCTTTAGTAGTAATATTATGTCTGCTAAAATAGATAGGAAAAAATTAACATCTAATTCAGGAGCTTCCAATGAATTGTTGCACAAAAACAAATATCACGATAATCAAAGTATTGATTCTACATCTAAAACCGTGGAAGCAGACTCCACTGTTTCAAATTACGAACAAGAAAATGATTTGAATGCAACTAAAGAGGCAATTCAGAAGGAAATACAAAAATATATATGTAAAGAATATAGACAATATAGGAATATTTTTATTGACAAAATTCATAAGAATTGCGATAGTGTTTTTATTAATAAAAGCTGTACAAATATATATAAGAAAAAAAGAAGAAAGATCCAGCATAAATTTCGTCAGATTTTTGGTCCATGTTCTCCAATGAGCGAGGAAGAGGAAGAAGAATTTATTATAAATATTTCCTTAAGAAAAAAGAAAGGAAAACTATCTAAAGAATCTTCTCGTTCACAATTTAATGATAAGACATTGAATCTTTCTAAAATACAAGATACAACGTTTGATTTAACAGCAAGTGACGAAGATATAGCTTGTAGGAAAACTCTTGAGATTCCAAGTATTCGAGTAATGCACCATGACACTGCGTCATTAAATGATAATGATTTAACATTAGTTAAATTCAATAAACAAATTATTGAACAAACTATCTGTGATGAAGACATAAAAGTTGTAGAAACTGAGTCTTCTGAAGATGAAACTATTTTCGACTTTTCTATGCTTTGTGATAATAGTAAACTAGATAACATCATTAAATTACCAGTAACCGAAAAGAAAGATAGCGTAACACAAAAGTATATAAAAGAGTCTTTTAATGTAAGAACAGATACAGATTCTATTAATTTCAGCTCTTCTAATGGATCTGCGAATGATACAAATATTAAAGTATTACCTGATTCTGCTAGTGAAATAAAAACATTAAGTGAAAGGAGTAATAATAATAATAAGAATAATAATAATAATAATAATAGTAAAAATAATGATAATGATAATGATAATAATAGTAATAATAATAATAATAATAATAATAATAATAATAATTAAAATAGTGATTCTATTAGTTTACATACCAAAACTCCAATTTTATATTCTTTAATAAGTATGGATGTTTTTGGGAAGAACGTATTTAAAAAGTCTCAAAATACTGAAAATCATTCTGAAACTTGCGAACCAATTTCAAAAGCTGATACATCTATTGATGCACAAAAGAAAAAAGAAGATGATAAAATAATTACGGATATTAAGTTGATAGAATCTTGTAGAAAAAATATCAATGGTAATGATGTGGAAAGAGTAATTGAAGTAGAGCCTTACGTTGAAAATTATGCTGCTAATATTTTGAGGAATCTTAAGAACTATGAGGGAAACGTCATAAATAATGATACAACGAAAAGATTTAAACAAAATGTAAATGAAGATTTAAATAAACTTTTACAAATAAATATCAGTGAAAATTTTAGAATAAAATCTAGTGGAAATACTATTAGTATTCAAGAGAATTTGAAAACACGTAAAAATCACAATACAGTAACTGAGGACATTTGCATTAGCGATATTACCAGTATGGAGGATCTATTAAGCTCTGATAATTCTACAAATAAATATAAAGAAATAGTTGCAAAGGAATCAATAAATATCAATCCAAAATCACCAGTTGCTATTTTGATGGAAAATAACGATTCATGTAGCACGTTAAACGAGAATAAAATAATTAATGAGACTTCACTTGATCCCTCTTGTAATGTTGTGCAACCAGAATTAATAAAACGGAATAAAATTAGGGTTCTTTCTAGTGCAGAATTAGGCTCCAGATGGTGTCCTTCTCCTGTAAATACGCTTCCAACGACATCCATAACCGAAACTAATGTTACACTAGATGAAACTACAGTGCCTATAAACGATAATAATGTGATATCTAAGACTGGTATTGAGCAATTAACTAAGGATAGCACATTAAATAATAAGCCACATAACTTAAATTCTTATTTACTGTCTATATATAGACGTATAATAGGTTTACGCACAATATCAAAAAACTTTTTAAATAATTCTAAAAATCCGCTTGCTACAGACAAGAATGTTAATGATATGCGATTAAATTCCCATTCTTTTGTACTTCTTGATGAATTATATAATTTAGGAAATGAATTGCAATTAACTAATTTACATGAAATTATAGAATATGTAGTATCTGAAATTAATGATAATTCGTTATTACCTGAATATGAACCCATATCCTTAACAGAAATTGTTCAATATATAGCAGTACATGATAAAACCTACAGCAGTACATATAAACCTAGCTCTAGCGATGCACTTATATCTATCTCAAGTAACATTACGTCTACCTCTGACAATGCATTTACACCTACTTCTATTCCACCTGTTTCTAATGTAACAAATGCTAATAATATGTCTACAACCTCAGTAATACAATTCTTTCCAAATTTAAAGAATCTATTAAAGACGCAAGTTCAGTTAAATAATTTACCAAAGAAACATGCGTATAATTCTATTGCTCTAAACCAAAATAGTGAAAGCAATTTTAATAATTCATCAACGTTAATAAAATCTAATAAATCAGTGCTTTACCCTATGTTAATGCCGTCAATAAATAATAATATACAAGTATTACAAGATAATAGAATTAACAATGTATCTATGCCATATTATGATCAACGTGTATTGCCACAAATAGCATGCCAATCAATTAACAAACCACAAAGAATCGATAATGCAAGAAGTACATTTGATTTGTCTTATACTCAACAAATGCAACAGGCACAACAACAAACACAACAACAAACACAACATCGATTCACATTTTTATGTAACATGCCACAAAAACTACGTTTCCAAAATGTACAACAAACTTCATTACCTACTACAATGCTTTCTAAACAATTACCGACCTCGCATTTTAATCATTCACAAAATTTTCCTCAAATAATATATCCAACTTCATATGATTTATTACTCCAAATATGGGATCAAATAACATTTTGTTACGAAGAAGATTTGATTAATTGTAAGACGCACAATAGTTTCGGTAAATACACCTGTATCTTGGAAATATTTCAAAAAACGTGGAGGGACAAAATGTGCAATTTTATTGTGTATAAATCACAAAAGAATGAATCTTTCATACTTAAAAGTAAACAAGGAAAGTATTTACATAAGACAGCAATAATAGAAAAACAGAGGAAAGAATGGCAACTGAATTTGCAAGAAAATGAATATCAAAACCAATTAAATGCAATGAAAATTATGAATCAAAATATAATAAGTTTAAATACTGCACCACTTAAAAATTTAGAATCACAAGCAGGAACGACACAACATAAACAGACAAAGAAATCAGATAATGTAATACAAAGAAAACGAACTGAATCGCGTAAATTAAAAAGTTTTGCACAACAACTTATTGATAGCACCACGTCATCAGATATTTTGCAAGATAATACAAATTCATTACCTGTTGAACTAAACAATACTAAAAATGTAAATAAATTACCTTTAGTTAGAAAGAAATATAAAAAAACTACAAATGTAGAAGAACCTTCTACAAGTTTAGGAAATAAAACTGAAAATGAACTAAACATTAATTTCATAACTTCTACTTTAAAAAATAAAGATAAAACGAATCAAGAAGAAAGCGCCCAAATTGCTCCAATACATATGAAAGAAGTTTCATTGCTTGAAGAGAGAACTGAAGATAATATTGATTCTCAGCGATGTGATTCAAAGGAAAGTGTTACAATTATACCTGCACCATATATAGTAGATGTACGAACCATATCTCAGAATGTATTCAATGAAATAGAAGAAGTTTCAGCTTGTTTTTCGAATGACACTCAATTGTCTACTGACGACAACATTCAACAAAATGAAATTCAAATAAAAATTCAGTTACCAGAAAATATTATTTGTTTAAATTGTCCTAATATAAGTACAGTTGTCTGCGAAGTTTGTTTAGATGCTCATTATTGTTCTAAAGAATGTGCAGCATCGTATTGGGTAGAAAAACATTACAAATATTGTACGCCACATCGTTCAAAAGAATCCAAAGAAAAAGTTTAATGCCTCGGTAATTTGAGAAATTCTTAATAGTCTTAATTATATATAAGCGAATCGCAATTAATATTATTTTACTTTTGTATATCTATGTATTATTTTTTATTTTTATTTTGCATAGGAATAATATTATTTTGATTAGTACTTATTGTAAGTAAACTATTTAACACAATTTTGTTAAAGATAAAAGCAATACTTAGAAACAGTCAGTGGACTAATATATACAAATTGTTTTCTATATAGATTGATACAAAGATTCTTGTGTTATTATTAAGAATTTATTTTTATTTGCATTATATTTTTTTTATCTTTGTTAATAAATAAAAACTATGTTTATTAACATATTTTTATAACTTTAAATCAAAGTTTTAATTAAACATTGATAACAAATTTTATTAATCCTTTTTGATTCTTATTATTTTTTAGGTATTTGAAATCATAATTAAAAATAAGTCAATAAGAGAGAAATTCATAAATTTATTGAAACTCTTCCTTCTATGATAGATATAACGTTTCGATGAAGAAACTAAATTTTAATAGTACTAGTAAACGTTATTACATTTGCTTACTCATCTTCATAGCCTGTTGGTAAAGCATTGGTATGCGGATTATGAAATAAAGTTCGTTGTCCATCTCCCCAAGGAAATCGCTAAATAATAAATCAATGATATGAAATAAAGGTAAAAAATGATCAATGTTAGCGAATACGTAGAAATATATACCTTGTGCCTTATTCTTAAATGTTCATAAGGAATAAATTCTGGTCTCTCATGCTCTTGCTCGCTTAGATAACAATTTAACAAACCTAACAAAGTAGCAGGAACCCCAACGAACAAGTATAAATTCCTCCACAAAGCTGTAGGATCTAGAAATATTTATTATTATGTAATATATGTGATCGGCAATGTAAGTAAAAGTATTTCTATTATTTTCTCTCTATGTGTGTATCTATATGTAGGTATATATATATATATATATATAATATATAATAAATATATAGATTTAGATTTCAATTTATAATATCTAATACTAAAACAATGAAATGTGTAGACAAAAGATAATATATTTGACAAAATAATTGTAAATATGACGATACATTGGGAAGAAAAGCAACATTTAATAACAAATATTGTTTATTGTATATTGTTTATTGAATCAAATTTAAATGATTTAAATTGTTTTACCTTTTCCAGACTTTTCTGCTACACTTGCAAACTGTCTCGTAAATATACGAGAATGGAATTTAGCAAAAGCCATGACTGTATGCACTTGCACTTCTCTTCTGCTACGTACTGACGTAATTCCTACCGATTGATCAATCTACGTTATCGAAGCGCACTCTGTAGGCTAAATATTGTATTATTGTTCTGATGGTAACGATAGCGATGCGATCTGTATTATCGATCTATAGATCTCGCTCTTGGTTTGTTTTTGTTTAAATTTTATTAACATAATGTCAATTTATGTGATATTGTAATTAAACAAATAATAAAACATTGATTATTCTAATGTGACAACGACAAAAAATAATTTAAATGTACTTTTTCATTCGAAATACTGTTTTATCAATAAATTTATATATAAGATATATATTTGTATTCTTTATTCTTTAAAGGTTATACACCGAGCATGTAATTGTCAGATATACATATTTACATATATTGATCATTGTATCGTATTTGCAGCTTGATATCTTTTTTATTTTACAATTTTATGGATTTTTGGTTATCGAAAAAGAATAATGCTTATTTTAATGGTTAGTTTAATAATAAATATTACTCCTATATACATATATCTACATATGTATGTAGATATTTATCATTTTGTAATAATGAATCAAACTAGATCGTGATGAAACAATTATTTCAATTTTTTATTACAATATTTCTAATTGTAAGGTTTTCATTTTCAGTGAATAATTAATGAATATTCATTTTATCCATCTGTGATACATAGATAAATGTTTAAAAATAAGAATTTTAATGATGTGCAATAAAATGATCAAATTATTTTCTTCCTTATCGTTTGTGCATTAAATTTGACAGTTGTTTACTATTTCTCAACTGGATGGGCAATTCGAATGTAAAGAAAAAATACTATGATCATCAAAAATATGCTAGTCAGGTATCTAAGAAAACTATTCTAACTTTTTAATTAAGAATAATTGTTTAATTTATTCAATAATATATTAAATATATAATATGAAATAATAATGTTTCATTATATATAGAAAGCTGTATTAAATTTGTTAATTGTTTACAGTATAGTCTTATCGATATCATTGGTGGAAGTTGTGCTGGATCAACGAGATCTTCTCACGTAGAAACCAAATCGTATTCTCGTTCCTCCTGTAGAAGGTAATTAACTTTTAAAGATTTATTTTTGACACTGGTTTATTGTTAATTAATATACAAAATATATCCTATTTAACATTTTGAACAAAAGCCTAGTCCATGGTTCTTTTAGTTCATCTAAAACGACATGGCCAATACCTAGGTCCGAAGCAATATTTCTTCCAGAATTTAAAGTCAGAAAAATGACTTTAAATGCAGAATATAGCTTTCTTGCTCTCATTGCTAAAGGTGCATATGGAAGAGTTTATAAAGTTCAGAATCGGGAAACTAAACAAGTTTTTGCTTTGAAAGTTATCGCCAAAGCTCAAATTGTCACCGAGAATGCCATTGCTCAGGCAAAACAAGAGGTATATATATATACATATATTATTTATAAATATATATTATACTATAGTATCATTGCAAATGTATCTTTTACAGGTTGCTATTCAAAGAATGGTTGGGCATCATCCCTTTATAGTAAATTCAACTCATAGATGGCAAAGTAGAAAAACCTTATACATATGTAAGTATTTTAAGATATGTAGAATAGATTTTTTGTGCCATTATATTTTATTATATTATTTATATTTCGTAGTAACGGATTATATGAGCGGTGGAGAATTATTCTCATTAGTAGAGAAGTATGGGTGTTTGCCCGAAGAAGTAGTTAGAATATATGTTGCTGAAGTTGCTTTAGCTATTGGTAAGGATCTAACATAAAATACATATTTCAGATTACGTCATTTAATAGTGTCATCAAATAATAATAAGTATATATCATTTATTTCAAGATTTTTTACATAATGCTGGAGTGGTGCATAGAGATCTGAAAGCAACTAATATTTTATTGGATGAAGAAGGACATGCTGTAATTATAGATTTTGGTTTATCCAAGTGGTTAAATCGTACACAAAGGACGAATACTTTTTGTGGGACTCCGGAATATATGGGTAATTCGTTATATATCTATATATATTTTACACATGTATTGTAATTATTTAAAATTCAAATCTCTCTTATTTTTATTTTGAATGAATTTCAGCCCCAGAAATTTTGAAAAGGCAACCTTATGGACAAGAGGTTGATTGGTGGTCTCTCGGTGTTTTAATGTGCTTTCTACTCACTAATCGGGTATGTAGAAAATATATTTTTCGATATTTATGTTTACAATTGAAAATTATTTCTAAGTAACGCGGAGTTACATTTAAATTAAAAATTATTTCGATTGTATATAACTGGTTTAAAAGCGTTCGTCGACCAAGAGACTCCGTGGCGCAACGGTAGCGCGTCTGACTCCAGATCAGAAGGTTGCGTGTTCAAATCACGTCGGGGTCAAAATAGCATTGAATTTTTTTTTCCTCCTTTTTATTTTTGTAAAAATTATTTTATTCAACAACACGGTTAAGGTGAAAACGTTCGTTTGTCGTATTTTACACATGAATTTATTTAGAAAATAAAAATATATTGTGTTTTGAATGGTAAAAAATAGAAACGATTAAAGAAATACTATGACGGGGAATCTTGCAAATATTTCAAATAGAAACGCGAACACATGTTTTTATAAATTGACAATTTAGTCGAACTTATTTGCGTTATCGATTTTTTTTTTTTAATTGTAAGTAAAACCAATTCTTTTTTTCATGATTTTCTTCGTTTTCTTTTCCTTCAAATACAATTCTTGTATAAATTAAAAAATATCCAGGGATGTGGCCAATTTCTTCGGAATATCTAATGCACAAATAGAAAAAAAAAAACAACGAAAAATATTTACATTGATTATCATTTATAAGATATCTTGGTTTTTCTTCTCATTTAAGATCGGGTAAGATCCTCTAAAGATCTTGCGACATTTCAAAAAGGCAACGTGCATTGTCTCCTTGATATTAGGAAGAAAAAAAAAGAAAAAGAAAAAGAAAAAGGAAAAGGAAAAAGAGAAAAAAAGTACAAAACTGCAAATAAAGAAGAATCAGTCATTTGCGTTAAGACATACTTAAATATGCTATAATTCATTCCGTTTAGCTATTCTCACTTAATTCATTGATAGATCGAAGAATCTTGTGATAGATTGCAAAATCTTTCGCGCCTTGACATTTTGTCGAGTACAACAACCTTATAGAATTTAAACTGTGTTTACTCGAATGCATTTATCTATACGCCATCGAGTTTTTACTCGGCCTTCGGGATGAGTAACGAAGTTTTAACGCATATCACGAATAAATGTCGCGGACTATTATAACGTGTTTTTGTCTTGCGCAAAGGAATTCTTCGTAGGAAGGTGGGTAGGTGGGTGGGTGGAGGTGATGATAGTGGTAGTGGTAGTGGTTGTCTTTGAAGGAAGAACAAGTTGGGCCTTTCTTTTCATTCGATCTTCAGTTAATCGATCGTAACTTGAGATATTAGTATCCAAGTGTTAGATAAATCTTCGGAAAGTACCCATGATTTCTCCTATTTTTACTTTAGCTATTCTATAAGATGAGAACAACATTGTGTCTGGAGAGAGGGGGGGGGTGGTAAGTATTATTTAACTTGATTATTTTTTTATCTTCTTTCCTTTTTTTTTGTTCGTTTTTTCTTTTACAGAGGATTGGTATCAGTAACGCCAAATCTTACGTTGAAGATGACAGTAATAATAATAATTATTATTATTATAACGATGATGACAGCAATAATACAAATAATAATATTATTAATAATTATGGAACTCGTACTAAATCGTAATAATAAAATAAAATAAAATAATAATAATAATAATAATAATAATAATAATAATAATAATATTAATAATAATATTAATAATAATATTAATAATAATAATAATAATAATAATAATAATAATAATTGTGGAACTGGTACTAGAACGTAATAATAATAATAAAATAATAAAAATAATAAGAATGAGACGCGTGTTAAACTCTAAGAAGACAGACTCGAGAACTAATCGCTAATCTATCGGAATGGGGTCTGGTTACGTGTGATCCGCGTACGTTCGTTCAAAACAAAATAAAAGGATATACATATATATATATATATATATATAATTGTGAGAATTTTGGGATGAGGATAGCGACAAAAAGAAAAAAAAAAAAGAATAGTATAAAGAAAGAAAAGAAAAAGTAAAGTCAGAAGAGCAGAAGAGATTCGTCCACCTGTACCATCCATCCATCCATCCACATCCATCCATCCATCAATCAATCAATCAATCCATCGGAAGTAAGAGCCGTGTTGTTGGTTGTAATTGTACATCAGGACGAACGACGAGGGTGCAGCTCGGTGACGAAGAAAATTCGCCGAACCGAATCCTCAGGAAGATAAGGACGACCGCGCGAAAAAAAAGAATCTAAAATCAAGTGTGTCTCGCGTGGTGGTCACCTAACATTCCCTCCCTCCCCCCCTTTCTTTCCCTCTATTTTTTCCTTGATTAAACAAAAATTCGTTTCTCGGGTTATTCGGAATCGTTGCGCGTCAGAACAATAATATGCACACCCTATTATTATTATTATTATTACATCATTATCGCGATCGGGGGAGGCGGGGGGGGGATGCGTTGTTATTTCTCGTTTTCGTTCTCTTCTTTTTTCCTATCTCTCTTCTCTCTTTCTTTTTATTTCTATCTTTATATTTACCTGCTACTTCTACCTCTACCTCTATCATTTACCTCTAACCTTTATATCTCTATCTCTACCTTTACCTCTACCTCTACCTCTACCTCTACCTCTACCTCTACCTCTACCTTGCCTTGACACATACGTACATGCACACAACACGCGCACACATCCGCATTTTGATGCTCGCGTACTACACTCTCTTTATTTTTCTTTCTCATTTTTTCTTTTTATTATTTTTTTTTTTTTAGCTAGTTTGTGTTCTTATTATTTTTGTTGTTCGATGGTCGTTTAATAATCTTGGAATCCGACATTATTCTCTGTCGTTTTGTCACTATCGGCGACTTTTCTTCTCTCTCTCTCTTTCTCTCTCTCGATTGATTTTTACCTTCGGGGATGGTGGTTGGCGGGGGGGAGGTGGTCTCGTGAATATTTCCTGCCGATCGTGTAATAAACTAGCGTGGGATCCTTTTATGAGGCGCTCTTTTCTTCGCTGTTACTTTGGCTGCTGTTTTCTTCACTTTTCTGGTTGGCGTCGTTGTTACTGCTACCAGGAATTACCGCCGAACTATTGTCTTCCTGTACAGAAGGGGACGAGAGAGCATTTGGTTGAACCGATGAATCAACTTTCGCGTCCTTGACTTCTTCCGGTTCTGGCAATAATTCTGGTTTAGATTCTTCCGCAGGTTTCGAAGATTTTTCCTCGGATGATTTCTTGTCATCATCGTCGTCCTCCTCGCTGTTGTTGTTCTTAGCGTCATCCTTTTCAACAGATTTGTCTTCCTCGGAGGACGATTCCTTTAATTCAGCTCCCCCGGTTGTTGCAGGAGTAACCGCTACGGTTGCTGCTTCCGTTTCCAATTTGATTTCTTCCTTAGGTGATTCATCATCCACGGCTTTTGATTTTACTGATTCCTCGTTAATAACTGAAGCATCTCGCTTGATCTGACTAGTTTCTTGTTGTAACAACGTTGGACCAGCTTCGGGAACGCTTTCCGATTGTTTATCTTCCTTTGGAGCTACCTCGGATTCCACGCTCTTAGCTTCTTTTTCTACCTGAGGTAACAAGCTCGATTTGTTTACGTCTTCTTTAGCACCTTCATCTTGATTACCAGCACCGCTTGCTGCCAACGATGAACTAGCAACAGCAGCAGCTGATTCTTCTACTGGTTTTTCGATTTCACCAGTCGCCGCTTTTATCGATTCTTCGTTATTTTTATTTTCCTCGGCTTGATGATCATTACTCTTCTTTTCTTGATTTTGATTACTCGCATCTTCGTTATTAACATGAGATTTTTCGAGTAAAACAACTGGCGCAGTTTCCTCGGCGTCACGAGTCACGCGGTCTGGCTTTTCTTCAGCTTTTATTTCCTCTTTCAATGTTTCCTCTTCGTTTTTATTGGCATCGTTAGAATTTTCAACCTTTTTCTCGGCTTCCTCTTGTGCTTTACTTTCAGATGTAGCCGCCGCCACTGGTAACACGACTTCTTCGTCCTTTTTCAATGATCCTTCTTCAGCTTGTCCCTCGGATTTCTTTTCTTCTTCTTCTTTTTTAATTGGTTCTTCTTTTTTCGTTAGATCTATCTTTTCTTTGGATTCCTCATTGGATTGGGCAACAACATCCTTTACTTCGGCCGGTGCTGCTGCTGCTTCTTCCTGAAACGTAACACGTCAAAATGTAATAGCCGTTTGTGTTGTTGATACAAACGAGTATAATTCGATGACAGTGTAACCGTCATAATTACTGACATACCTTTTTCTCGGCGGCTTCAGTTGGTTCAGCTTTAGGGTGATCCTCTTGCGATGTCACTTGGACGTTTTCCTTTACTTCGGATGCTGCTTCCTTGAGACTTTCATCCTCCTTTTTAGCCTCGGCAGATTGTTCTTGTGGCTGCTGGGCTTGCGGTTGGGCTTCTGGTTGGGTTTGCGGTACCGCTTGTGCATCGGCATTTTGTTCAGCAGGAAGGTGTTCCTTTTTTTCGTCAGCTTGTTCCAATGGTGCTTCGTGTGCTACCGGTTGAGACGAGGAGGGGGAGGGGGAGGAGGAGGAGGAGGATTGACTTTGTTGAGGATTTTCCGCGTTCCTTTCGCTTCTGAGAGTTGCTGTTGGTGCCTCGGCCGGAACTTCTACTTTAGCTTCCGGATTTTCGTCAACAACTGATGGTGCCGATGAAGCAGCTGATGATACGTCAGAAGACGCTACTGCTGGTGCACTGCTCGAAGACGCTGCTGCTGGTGCGTTCAAAGACGCTGATGAATCATCGTGAGCAACATTCGCAGCCACTTCCGAATTCGTCGAGTCTATTTTTTCGAGTGGTACCACGGTCTGAGGTGTTTCAGCTTCGTGATGATTAGCCAAGGGAGCAGCCCTTGCACCCAACAAACATATCATCGATATTAACACGATCTTCATCATCGTCGTCGTCGATCTGCAACGAAACGAAAACGTATTTATTTCTATTCGTAATTACGCTCTCTTTCTTTTTTTTTTTTTTTTCTTTTCTTTTCAATTTTTCTTACGCGTACAAATAATAATCACTCTCTCACTCTCTCTCTCTTTTTTTCTTCGAGATCTATTGAGTATATATATATATATATATATATTTAGAAGAACAATTATATTTCTCTTAAAAAGAAGATTCGCGTGAACACATACATATATTAATTATCTATTCAATGACAATTCAAACTTTTATTTATCCGAGAAATTGTCTACGTACTAGACATTAGACGAACGAAAATAAACGAAATAAATCGATTTCGATCGATCGATCGATCGAAATTATTCAAATCAAACTTACGAATATTAATATTAATTAACTAAGGTATATCAATTATATTCGTAAGTACGTAATATTATGTATACATACATAAAAATACATTTATTAATGTATTACGTTTACTTGTTAACATACGCATGAATAATTAATCAATCAGTTAAGAAGAATCAAGAAGGAAAATAATGAATATGTACCAGTTATGTTTGATTTTGAATGGAACGAAAAGGGCGGGGGTGGGGGGGGGCTGATGACAAATAAAAGATAAAAGAAGATAAGAGAGGAGTGGAGAGGTGAGGTCTGAGAGACGATGAGTATCTGAGCTGTTGATGCTGCTGCTACTGTTGCTTGTTGCTAGTGCAAGAATCGGCAGGAAGAAGAGGGACGGATGACATTGAGCCGAATGCATTGAATAAGGCGAGCACGTTATATGGAACTAATGACAGGATGCACGCCCCTCACGCTTGTTACGCGTATGACTCTCTCTCTCTCCTTCTCTCTTTTTTTCTCTCACACACACGCACACATAACTGCGTATTTCTTTTCGTGCACGCGTTTCACCAACTTGGCGCGTGTCTCTGAAGGATCAAATCTTTGCCATGGGTCATGGGAAACATCTAACGAATGAATGAACGAATGAATGAATGAATGAATCAATGAATGAATGAATGAATGAATCAATTCTACAATAAATAAAGACATCATTTTTTGTTGTTGTTATTCTCAACGAAATTCTATCGAAAGTTTCGGACAATTATTTTACATAGATATTATTAACTTTAATCTCGTTGTGAACCCTCCCTACCCCCTTTAGTAAATAATTAATGCATTAAACCTTCTTAACATTCAGGGAAAGGTTTCTTAAAGGAAGGAAGCGGATGTTCTGAAAGGAAGAAGAAGGAGAAAAAGAAGGGGGGGCTCATTTTTCTCGAAAATGTCCTTGAAGATTTACGATTGCCATGAGAGAGATATTTTTATTATCAAGGCATTTGTAATCATTATTTTTTCTTTTTTTTTTCATGATTCACCATTTATTTTTGAACAATACTGTACGACTGGCTGATGCTGAGTGCGAAAACGAAACGCAAATGCCTTTACTTCTTGATTTCCCATTGAAAAGCATTAAACACGCGATCACTTTATAACAAAGGTAAAACCTTTCTCTCTCTCTCTCTCTCTTTTTTTTTCCTTGTGTCACGCATGAGCGATTAAATATTCTATTGATGCGTTTTTTCGATGTTTTAAATATTATAACAACAACAAAAAAGAAAGAAAGAAAGAAAAAACGGAGGAGTGGAGGGGGGCAAGTAGGGAAGAAATCATTCGCGATAATTTTCGTTCGGTTGAGATTAAAAAAAGAAAAACAAAAAGATACTTTCGAAACTTTGAAATCAAATGGAATGCAAACACGTTCGGCGTTTGGAAAGAATCTCGAGAAAGGAAAAGAACGTGACGGTAGTAGTAGTAGTATGGGTAAGAAGAGAGAGAGAGAGAGAGAGAGAGAGAGAGAGAGAGAGAGAGAGAGAGAGAGAGAGAGAAAGATAGAAAGATAGAAAGATAGAAATAGAAATAGAAATAGAAATAGAAAGAGAGAGAAGGGAATGGGAAGGGAAGGACACACAACGGTCCGTCCAGTTTTTACCCCGACTAGCTTGATTTCGTGTTTGGCAACAACATATACGTAACCACGCCGATAGGAGGATAGTAGTCTGTGTTTCGATAGTGGTTTGTGTTATATAGCGCAATCATGAAGTTTCTTACGAAGGCAATCGACTTCTTCGTCGATAGATCGAAGTTTTAACTCGTTATACTCATTCGAATCTTGCCGTTAACTGCTTTAGCAAGTTAATGCGAAGGCTGGTGGTTGGTTGGTAGGCAAGTAAGCAAGCAACCAGACTTGTATGACATTCCGTTGAAAATCTTCGATTAAACGATATTATTTTTTTTCTTTTTCTACTTTTTGTTCATTCTTTCTTTCTTTTTTATAACATTACATACACCTTTTTATTTATTATTATCGAATTTGTTAAAGTTTAAAAAAAGAAGAAGAAAATAAAAATTATAACATTACGAACAATAGGTCCGTGCAATTCATTATTTCCTGATAATAATTATTAAAAAAAAATAGTATTGTAATTATAATTTTACGATGTGAAAGGATGAACAAACAACGACAACAACAATAATATTATATTTAATTTCAATTTGTTTTTCAACTCTTCCTTATATCGCATATAAATTTATATAGTTCTCTAATATTATTAAAATAGTATTAAATACATTTTAGAAAATCGTTCACATAACGAGATATTCATTCGCGTTTAATCCAAATTACATTTTATTTCGATTTTAAAATGATCTGTCGTATAATCATATACGATTGATCGTAAATCATCGTCTTGAGGGAGAGGGAGGGGGAGGGGAAGGTAAAGGAAGAAAAAATAAAAAAAAATATTCGAGAAGTGAATTCGAGTCATTGGGATTTGGAAGGAAAAGATTTGATTATTTTCTCTCTCTCTCTCTCTCTTTCTTTCTTTCTCTCTCTCTCTCTCTCTCTCTTTCTCTCTCTTTCATCATAGAATCGGATAAATGCGTGGCGAGCACGCATCTACTCGATAGGGAGAGAGGAAATGCCTGTGAGAGAGAGATGATGGACACCCATTACCTCATCAAGATCATCAGAGTTGTAATAATGGTAGCGCTCTTACAAAAGAAGAATGTGGCGGAGGTTAGGGGATGTGGGGGGCAAGCTAGGGGGGCTAAGGGGAAGGAGGATCAAGCGATCCAACGTCAATGACGTTAATGTTCCTCTTATTCTTTATATTATTTTACCCCGTCCGTTTTACAAATTTACGTCTAATTTTCGAACGAATAAACGTATGAACTGTAAATTAGGATCAATCGTTTTACCTGACAATGAGATGATATGGTTGCACAGAAATGAATAAGAAATTGAGGAAAAGAAAAGTAGAAAAGTCGTGAAAGTGGGGGATTGATGGGTTAGTATGGTCGGTATTGGTTTGTTCGTGTATAACGCAAAAATTCTAAAAAAATAATTACATTTCACGCGCGCGAAATTATTATTTTTTATAATTTAAATCGAATTAAACGAGAGGAAATTATTTTAGAAATAATGTATCAATATAATTACGTGATTTATTATAATCAATGGAAATTTGGTTGTTAAAAGAAATTCAAAAATTGAAGCTAAAAATTTAATCGGTAATTGTAAAAAAAGGAAAAGAGAAAGAGAGTACGTGTTGAAGAACAAACGAATAAGAAAATGACGCAAAAGAACTGTTAAGACATCATCAACGCGAATTCAGACGTAAATTACATGTGCCGCGCGGGTGGTAGATGATTTTTTTTTAAATTATTACACTCTCTTTCTCTCTATCTCATTTCATTTAGGTTTACCTAGACTCTAAATTTCGCTATATCTTTTGCGTAAAATTAAAATGACATCTTCGCGGTTCTTTTTCTTTATTTATCTTTCGGTATAAAAGAAGAACGATGGAGGCATGACTAGCGAAATCACCAGTCTCTCTCTCTCTCTCTCTCTCTCTTTCTCTCTTTCTCATTTTGTTCTCTTGCAAAATTTCTTTCGCAAGTTTAACGATCCCAACTATAATCACAGACTATCTCTCATTTTCTCTCTCTCTCTCTCTATCATTCTTCCTTTCTTTTTCTCATTGTATTTAGAATCGAAAGGAAACAGATATTCTTTTAATGTGGGATATTGTTTTCTTCGATGATAGAAGGAATTAAACACCGATCACTCGACAAAAAAAAATATATATATATATATATACGATGCAAAAGAATATGAAGAGAACAAAAAAAAAAAAGAAAAAAAAGAGAATGGAATATAAAATATTAAAAAAATAATAGGATATTGTAATTGGATTTAATTTCGGTACTCACGTAATTTAGATCTTCCTTAACTGTCAAAAACTCGTTTGAAAACGGAAGTTGAATAGCAGCAGCTGGGCAATGGGCAACAGAACAGGCAGCCCTTCTTCCTTCCTTCCTTCCTTCCTCTTTGTTTCTTAGGGCTTCGATTCGACGTTAGAAACTCCGCGGATAAGAAAAGAAAAAAACTGATAGAATCCGACTGTATATTTTCCTTTTATCTATTTTTTCTCTCTTTCTCTATCTTCTCGATATACAATTTATTTGATCTGATATATTTATAATATATATATATATCTATATACTCGCGAATGGTCGTCGCGCGCGTGCGATTATGCTCGTTTGCGAAGGACCGTGATGATCGGGATGAAGGTTGGGTCGTGTGTCGAGATGGAATTGTTCGGGCCTTGCTTATATACCCATTTACCCACTCGACCAGCCACCAGGATAGCGCAGGGGCCCCTCTGCTATACTCCTTCGCAAGGGAGGGGCCCCTCTCTTATTTTTTTTTCTCTCTCTTTCTCTTCTTTTTTTTTTTCTTCTTCTCTATACTCTTCTCACTTCTTCCCTTCTTTAGCCTTCTCTCTCTCTCTCTCTTTTTATCTGTCTGTCTGTCTTTCTGTCTATCTATCTATATATCTATCTATCTATCTCTCTCTTTCTTTCTTTCTTCCTACGTTTCCGTGTCTTTTACTCTCCCTCCCCCTTTCAACCTCCCCTTCCCACCATCCCATTTTCCCCCCTACTCCACCATCACCATCACCACCACCATCACCTCCTGTTCGTTCTTCCTCCTCTTTCTCCTCTTCTTTCTTCTCCTACAACGTGTTCTCCGATTCAACTTCTTTCCGTTCTCCGGCCCACGCCGTCTACCGAGAGATCAAGACACGCAACATCATCATAGTCAAAAGGAAAGAAAGAAAGGAAGAAAGAAAGAAAGAATGAAAGAAGAATAAGAAAGAAATCAAAGGGAAAAAGAAAGAAAAACAAAAAAACAGAAAAAAGATCGAACGAGAAGAGTTATCTTCGAAGATTTTCATGTCTCTTTATGAATTTCTTCTTTATACGTTTCGCATACTCTCTAGTCCCGATCATTTTATTCTTTATTATTATTATTATTATTATTATTATTTATTAGTAGTCGCGTCCCGGTTTAAATATCTCTTCTCATCTATTTCTACGGGTTTTTTGAAGTTATACTTCTTTTGGCACGTTTTGGAATGTGAAGTTAGATGCGACCGAAAAATCGAAACCACGAAGTTGTTCGATATTTACGATGCGCGCGCAAATTGAAGTTATTTTTGAGGTTATGGAGGTTATATTCTTTTTGGTACGCTAAAAAAGTTTAATTTTTTACGTGCGTACATAAGTACACACATCAGTTTTTTGTTTTTCGTACACTTTATAATAAATTCGAGAGCAGTTAAAGAAAAAATTATCTAGATAATATTTTTATTCTTATTTAATTGTAACGAAATCTTTATCACGAATTGAATTTGTTTCAATTTAATATCCTAAGATATCATTTGTATCTTTTTTTTTTAATCAATAAAAATGATATTTTTTGTTCTCGATCGATGCATACACTTTTGCATACATTTATTATTATTATTATTATTATTTGATTTATTTTTATTTTTTTCCAAGAAAACATACACATTATATATTTTTTACGGAAATTATTTCTTTGGCGAAGTTCCGTTCAATTCGTTACGATATTTAGATATAGTTTATACTTGTCTTTTTAAATCAATATAATTTTTATTTTTTCTTCTCTCGATGCATACACTTTCGTTCCTTTATTATTATTATCATTTTGTTCCTAAATAAAAAAGAAAAAACAAGTATAAACACACGTACACATATATTTTTTTGTACGGAAGTATCTAACAATCAGACAAAGTTTTCCGATCGATTAATATTCGAAAATAAATATCTGTAGAATATATTATAACAGTTATTATTTATTTATTTACTCACGCGTATTACACGGGTACGTGTTTTTAAGAAAAAAAGTCTTCCAGAAAGTATGTGTAAATTTGACGTGTTAATTTTTGTTTTTTTTTGTTTGTATCGATCGATTGGTACGACGATGACGAGAATGACGAAGATGACGAAGATGACGACGTGTGATTCATCATCATTGCCAAAGAGGAACTGATAAAACCACCTCGGTGGTGTCTCGTACTCTCAACACTTACACGCACGTGTCATAATTTACGCATACGCCCTCGATTCGCGAGTTACACGAGCGTGTTTGCGCACGCGTGTCACGTCATTATGTAAACATTGAATGAACGCGTGCGACGAACGAGAATCTTTCTTCTTTCATGCAAATCGTTTTCATGCAAAAAAGACAAAAAAAAAGAAGGGGGTGTGTATTCTCGACGCTTTCTGCTTTTCCCCCCTTTTTTTTAAAATCCAAAATTTAGAATATTTCTTTCGACAACACCTTTTTCTCCAATTAGATTTTAATAATATTTCATTTTTATTTAAATTAACAGATATATCATGATTTAAATTCATTAAGGTATGCCTGGTATTTAATATTAAACTTATCGACACTTCCTGTACTGTTTATTTTTTTTTTTTAATGAATATATATTATAATATATGTTAATATATATAGAACGAGGATTTTGATCAATCGGATAGTGAATAATATATTTGTTATTTTATTTACAAATGAATAATATAAATTTGATGCGTTTCAAAGCGAATTCTTTTTTTTTCCTTTTACAAATTAGAGGATTCTTACAAATGACCATATTTTTGCGAATTACCGGATACGGTCAATTACCACCGCCCGTGGTAGGTTAAGTATTTAAAGTGTCCTACCTTTTTGATGCATAAACATGCACGATGGGACTATTTGACTCCCCAACCTATGATTAAGACAAACTTAATTTTTTATATTCTTATATTATGGTGTCGGATAAAAGAAATAGGTGTCATAATTATCCATAAACGACGATTCCATTAAAAGATTATCTCCCATACTTAAAGAAAAATTGTGAAATTGTATATTCCTCCCTTATGGAAACCTTGACGCAAACAACCCTTTTATTTTTTTTTCTGTTTCTATTGGACTATAAAACTTGACTGACTATTACCGAGAAACTATTCGCGTGCTAAGAATAGACTTTAAGTTTGCCCGAAGGGAAAAATTCTTCCTCTTTTCTTTAGATTTTTTATTTATTTTCTTTTTTTTTTTTCTATCTTTCATTTCTTCTTCTTCTTCTTCTTCTTCTTCTTCTTAGCAAATCCCTTTCTTCCTTCCTGGTTATTCTCGATGCTTCTACGCTATTTCGAGTAAACGTTTTACAACCGGTGATTGCCAACCGTTACGTACCGTTAGAAGACGACGCCATAATCGATATTGACTACTCGCTATATATCTTTCTCTCTCTCTCTCTCTCTTTTTTTGCTCATAATCGATCTACTGTATCCATTGGAAGACCATAGAATGTAAAGAAAATAACAAACGTACAAAAATAAACGAGAGGAAAAAGGGTGTGGATATAAAATAAGATAAGATAAGAACAATTTAATGATCTTAAAAGAACGAACATTGGCAAAATATTGTACAGGTAGTCCTTTTACAAAAGGGTTTTGCTATAAGACATGATTCATAAATTGTAAAGAATCCTCCTACAACATGGTTTCGTTATAACACGATTCATAAATTGTAGGGAACCCTTTATACGACATTGTACTTTTACAGCACTGGATAACATAAATATTCTTTTAAACATATTTACAAAATTAAATTATCTTAAAATAATGAATTCAGGATCTGATATAATACAGTTCATAATTGCGAAAACCTTTATACGACACTGTACTTTTACAGCACTGGATAACATAAATGTTTCTTTAACATACTTACAAAATGAAATTATCTAAAAATAATGAATTCTCAGGATATCATATGATACAGTTTATACTTGCGAAAACCTTTATACGAAACTGTACTTTTACAGCACTGAATAACATAAATGTTTTTTTAAACATATTTACAAAATGAAATTATCTTAAAATAATGAATTCAGGGTTACATACAGTCAAGGTTTCACACAACACTGCACTTTTTAGGAACCTATTATCTACCGTGTTATAGGATTCTTACCTGTATTATAAAAATAGAATAAAATATATATATATATATATATATACATCGGAATATTTTTAGAGTTACATAAAATAATAACGATTCAAGTTAGTTTGCGTTTAATTAGCGGAAAATCGATCGACCGTGGTACTTTTCGTTTCCTCGTCTGCAAACATATACGTCCCCCTCTGTCCCCCTCTCATCTTCCTACCCTACGTATTTCTCTTGTTCCCCCTCTCTCCCTCTCTCTCTCTCTTTCTCTTGGTAAAGTATGATCTTTCTTGGTATTCCATGATCGGCATCAAGGCCGTTAGAGCTCAACGAGCTCCTCTCCGTCAACGAAATAAAAAGTTTAACGCGCGTGAAAAGGAAACGCATTGTCGTCGTAGTCATAGTCGTAGTCTACGTCGTGTTAAACCACACGTCACAACGAGATGTTATTCTCGGTAACAATAATTAGCTTTAGTTAGGGAACGAGAACGAGACAGAGAGAGAAGTATCTATGTGAGCTATAAGATATATTATTTCCCATGTGTTTTTTCTCAATATATGTTTCTAAGTAAACGAATAAAATCATTATGATCAATAATGTTTTATCTTATCGTGATTTTTATTTCAAGGATTTTATACGTTGGGTATGAATAAAGAATAACCTCGTAAATTAATAATGAATCGACGCTTAATTGTAACTTCTTTTTTTCTTTGGTTCTCACTTTTTTTCTGTTTTTTTTCCACCTGCCCCTCGCCCTCACCCCTTCCGTTTGAAATAACGATTACGTTGGGTTACTCATGTGTATCGGAAATATTACAAAAATGTAATAATTATTTTCTAAAGACGCCGAGTTCTATCCTATAATATATATATAAAAAAAAACAAACTTAATTGAATTATTATTATTATTATTATTTTTTTTTTGTATATATGTTATTCATTTATTGATAAAAATAAATCAATTGTGTGCAATTCGATGCATAAATGTGCATAATAGGATTATTTGAGTTGATATAAATCAAGTTACGATTATTACGTAATATTGTTGAAAAAGAAATCAAATTTTTCTGCGTAACACGGATTATTTTTTTTTTTTTAAATTCCGTTCATAAACGACACGGGAGATAAGGTATTGATTTTTATTTATAATTGATTGTGTGATTAATCGTTCAAATAATATTATTAAATTCAATGATTTCTATTATTTAATATTAGAGTACGACGAGAAACTATATAGTATCTAATGATTGGATTGATTAATTATTGTCATAGATTATTGAATACTATAATTATTCGTCTTTG